TTTGTATTAAGCTTCCCGTTAATGATATAGATATCAAGATCGAGGAAAGGACATGTAATAATTTTAAATTATTATACTTTACGTTAAATTGCCAGATTTTGATTGGTTCATACGAGGGAGACAATTTACTCTATCCAATGGTTCAGCGGGAGATAGTTTTTTGAATGTCACCCTCTCGTGCGGACCAATCAAAAATCGATAATTCAAAAGGCAATGCATTGCATTTACATCAATGATTCTAAAGACAAAGTTAAGTTTTATGTTTTTTTATTGATTATCACTCTAAATAAAAAAAATCGTGCTTTACGTTTGTTATTTTTTTACAACTTTAACGTCGTTTTGTAAACGACTTCATAGATCATTACTTTTAACTTAAGTTTCAATGAAAATAATGATAAGACATTAAGTATAATAAATTAAATATCACATAGCTGAGAGGGTGATAGAGCAGATTATTACCCCTCGAATAAACATTGTCAACCTTGGCAACCTTTTCTATAACTATGTAATTGTAGTTTAAGGAGAAATAAAGTCATTCGTCATTCGTTGACTGGTATATTATTCATCCGTTCGTGTATTTATGTAATCATTTAACCAAATCTATAATTGATTTCATCAATAATATTTCCTCAAGATTACAAACTATTTGGAAAATCATGATGAATACCTAATTAAAAGCGCCTTTTCATTTTTTTTGTTAATTGGTAGAATTGAAACAACGTTGTGTGACCTTTTTACAACGACAAAGTATAAATTTAAAAAAATTTAAAATGTCTATTGCAATTTTTTAAGATAATTTTATCAAGAATATCAAACGACCTATTGGATACCGTTGATTATCACATATTTTATTGGGTTTTACATATGCAATAACCGATTTCCTGTGATACTTTTATATGAATTAAGAAAATCTTTTTTAAAAGTAAGAAAAAAGAGTAATCTTTAAAAATAAATATATTTTATTTGATTTTACTCCCGAGTAACCGGTTATAGGTAGTTAATGGTAATGTATTCATGAGTTGATCTCTACCTACCAATCAATTCTACTATAATTCATTGGAAAAATGAGCCTTGAGTGTGACAATTCCGATATAGAGTGGACCCTAGATGTATAAACCCAAATGGGTTTATACATATATATATGAGTGGACAAAACACTATAAGGAGAAGAAATATCCTGGAGATGTAACTTTGTGCGCTATAAAATCCACATTTTATTAACTATATCCTGCTCGAAATCCTACTTCCACCTCCCAGTGGTGAGCAGGGGTAACAGATTGGTATATCTGGCGAACGGAAAAGGCCTTAATCGTTCTTATTTTTGTTTTCGCTCAAATGTCCTATGCTTATTTTTATTTTCGCTGAAATGTCCTGAAATTTCGGCGCTCAAATGTCCTATACTTTGGTGCTCAAAAGTCTTTTATTTGTCGCCATTTCGCGAAAATTTATACGACTATTTTTTTAATTGTCTTAACAAGTAGGTTTTCACAAATATTTAAAATATAAAAGGTTAGCGTTTAAATTATGTGAATATGTGAAAATAATAAGAGGGAGACGTGGTATGATTCCCCATGAGGTGTCATCCTGGTTTGCCCACATTTAATTGCAGGTTTATAAAAACATAGGGTGTTTTGTTGTTTTAACAATTATAGTTTATTTCTGAATTTTAATCATATTTCTAACCTTTAATTTACCTGTAAAATTTTAGAAAAGATACTCCTATGAAATCTAGGGAAATGTATTGAATTTGACAAAAAATATACAAAAATGTTTATTATTTTGACCAATTATCGACAATTTTTTTAATTTGTTAGTACATTCTGTAAAAAAATATAATCAGTAAAATAATAAAACTTAAGAATAAAATAAGTGTTATTAAAAGTTTCTTTTAATTTATTCACCTTAATTATTATTTTAAATTTATTAAATAATTTGTTCTGAAATTTTATATAAAAAACCAAATTCATTCTACAAAATAAAATACAAATGCCACTGTTCAGTAGCCAAGCTTTAAAAATGACATAATTTGAACAATAATCTGCATCCAAGCAAAAATGTTCTTCTTTCGCTTTTTATGGAAATTTCAGCCTGCAATTCAGTGGTTGTTGTGTGTTGCTGTTGATCAAATGTGTAGTTTGTTTATTGTTTTGCACAGTTCTTGTGTTGTTCTGTTGCACCACTGTCCCAGGATTAGGCGAGGGTTGGGCGCCCGATAACATGTTTAACCCCCGCCACATTATGCATGTGACTGTCGCAAGTCAGGAGCCTGTAATTCAGTGGTTGTCGTTTGTTCCTGTGTTACATATTTGCATTTCGTTCATTGTTTTTTTTACATAAATCAGGCCGTTAGTTTTCTCGTTTGAATTGTAATTTACTTTTGTCATTTCGCGGCCTATTATAGCTGACTATGCGATATGGGTTTTGCTTATTGTTGAGGGCCATACTGTGACCTAAAGTTGTTAACTTATATGTCATTTGGTTTCTGGTGGAGAGTTGTCTCATTGGCAATTATACCACATCTTCTTATTTTTATATAAAATGTTGTGTTTTTCATCATTATACACAAAGTGCCCCATATTACTTATATATCACATAGTGCTTTATTTATTTTCTTATGCAATGCATATTTAAATTATGTTTGCAATAAAAGAAAATTTTATCATACATTTGTGTATTTATAATATAATCATTTAGAAACTGATGAATTATTAAGACACTTTTATAAATGAATGCCATTGTTTTGTCATTAGTTGTATATTATATGAATCGATGAATTGATATGAAATTATTGAGAAAAAAAATGATTTATTTATCATTTATCTATAATAATACAAATAAAAATGGAACTACAAAATGAAAAATACCTGAATATATATAGAAAACACAGATAAACTATATACCTATAAAGTTGGAATAGACTATACAATTGTATGCTCATTTAACCTTTTGTCTTAATTGTTTTCTTTACTAATAGATAATTGGTATAATTAAATGTGGGCAAACAAGGAGTAAACCCCCATGAGACGACCAAAGCACGAAGATGTGAACAACTTCATAGTACCGTACGGTCTTCAACAATGGGAAAATTCCATATCAAAGGCGCCGAGGTAATAGGGCTTACACATTTTTTCTTGGAGTCTGTTTGTATACTCCAAATGCTGCAGTTGCAGGGATATGGGGTGGATACCTATCTTTCAAAAATAATGGCAATGTTTAATTAGACTCTGGTGCCGTTTAAACAATATGAGGTCTAATCGGTTAAACAGAAAGGTTTTCATATGAGCAGGTATTATAAGTAGAAAACACAAGTGTATAAAAAATTGGAATGTTTATGTAAGGAAAACGTTTTCTGAGTACGATGTATAATATTTGTGTAACATTACTGAATATATATTGATAGTATCTCAGTTGTTTATTGCTATGTCTAGAATGTTTAGTAAATATGTTGATCAGTTGCAATGCCATTTACCGCCAGAAAAAGCTCTATCTGGTAAAGTTGGCAACAAAAGAACATATAATTCATTTAAGAACCGTTTTGTAACTGAAACATGTTGTACAATTTCAATGCCATTTCCACAAAGGAGTTCTTTTGCCAAATTTCGGTGTGGAGTAGAAGAATCGAAACAGGGAGAATTGTAAAATTACTTCTAGAGGTGCGAGTCTGTGATAATTGTTTACATATTTTAAAAAATGAAGCGCATGTTATTTGATCGTGTCCATTATAAAACGATGGTATAAAAAAATCATTTGATGAAGCAAAAACATTTTAATAGTGATTTTATGTCTTTTGATGATAAACAGAAATTAGTGTTTTAATAACATATATTAATATGATTCGTAGCCGTTCCAAAGCCTGTTACCTAATTTTCAATAGACGTAGAAATGTTTTATATTGTAAATGATGTACTTAATATATAAATATGTTTTATAATAGACGAATTTTCTTTTATGTTTTAATGCAATAGTCTCTTATAATTTTGTACAGAATGGCTTTTTATTTCATATCAATATTTTACACTTAATGTAATGTTGTATTATATATCACTGAGAGATGAGACTTCAATAAAATATTGAATTGAATTGAATTGGCGACGAAATGTAGTAAAATTCAAATGAGAAAACCAACGGTTTACGTATTCTTAAACAACAAAATACATTATAAAACAATAAACGAAATAAATTATATTACGCAACAACCATTGGTATTAAAAAGGCTCCTGCTTTTGGACGAGCACATATAGTATTTGGTGGTTAAAATATGTTTGTGAGCGATCAACATTCTGAAATTGTGAACATCAGTTAGAAAGGACTCGGATTTTTACGTTTCGGTAATAAGTACACACACAACTAACCTAGACAAGCGATACAAAGTACCGATCTAAGAGAACTCATATTTACTGAAGGCTACTTTAATTCCTTCAAAAGAATAAACAGTGAAATATCAATCGGTATACCTCCGCTAGAATGAGTTAAAAGACGTCATAACAGTCTGAGAAAAGGCAAGACCTTGTACATCCCAAAATATTTTTACCGGCAGGATATATAACCATTAAAAATAAATTTATAAATAACTATTTTGGGAAAAAGTTAAATAACAAAAATACCGAACTCCAAGGACAATTCAAAATGGGAAGTCTGTTATCAAATGGCAAAATCAAAAGCTCAAACACACAAAACATTTTCCTGACTTGGTACAGGTACTTCCGTATGTGGAAAATGGTGGATTAAACCTGGTTTTATAGATAGCTAAACCTCTCACGTGTATGACATTCGCATACAATTCCATTATATTGTGACTTGGTACGAGCATTTCCTTATGTGGAAAATGGTTGATTAAACCTGGTTTTATAGCTAGCTAAACCTCTAATTTGTATGACAGTCGCATACAATTCCATAATATTGGGATGTATTGAAATCCACAACAGTTAGAAAAAAACCTGAATTTTATGACACTGCAGTTTAACAAAAATCTAAGGCAGAAGAAAAATCTCCCGAAAATGTTCATTTTTAAGCATATTTAATAATTAAAATATTCAAAAATAACAGTAATATGATAAGTGTCAACTTACATTGCTTCAATCTTCGAACGATTTACTTTGATCTGATGGCTCTTTATAGAAAGGCAAATTTCATACAAATAAGATATGGCGAAGCGAAACTTTGTTTTTATCACAAGTTCAGCTTGTGTTGTTACAGTCATATAAAGATAGTCTTTTCTTGAGTAATTGCTATAATTGCAGAACATCAGTTAATTGTCTAATTAATCAAGACATTATCAACAAGTGCTTGAACAACAATATGCAATGAGTAAATGTTTTGTTATATCTAATGGCTTTTAAGTTCTTTGTCCCTTTTCAATGCGGTACACAAAAAGTATTCATGGCTTGGGATACCAATATGATAGACATTTTCGTGTAAATGCAAGAAGTAGTGTCATGGAAAATAACAGAATAAATTATAACGTTTTGTTGGTGTTTTTTTTCAATTCAAAATATTTTATTGTTCAAATATCAAACGTACATTTAAACAAAGGGATTGGACAAAAGACAAAACCTATACAAATCCTTTCCTAAATAAAATATGGATGGAATAATCTGATAGTATCTTAGATTGTTAAAAAATCATTGTTATTTTTTTTTATGTACATGTAACAGGTTTTATCCTTGAATGTGCATGGTGATATTGCACTTTTATGTTTTGTGTAAATAACAAAATTATGTTTTAATTCTGTTGTTTTATAATTGTATATAACATTCTCTCATAGTTCTTTTAAGAATGGCACATGCATTCTAAATTTTTATATTGTGTACTTGATATTATAATGTGTTTATATACTTGTATGTATGTGGTGAGACTTTAATAAACTATTGAATCTAATAAACTATTGAATCTAGTATGTATTATATTTCTGATAATTCATAGATCATTCATTATTGCAGTGAGTCAGAGGAAGCACCCCCTCCCCCACTTCTTGAAATATTTTATTGGGTATGAATGAGGGTGTGGATGGGGTTTACAGAATAGAGAATAATGGGCACAAAACAAAAACAAAAAAGAATAGAGAAAAATAGGGAAAAAAGAATAGAGAATAATGGGGTGCTAAAATATAAAGAATAACTGCAAAAATTAAAGAATCGGATAAAAATATACTGATTACAGAAAAGAACAATGTCCGGAATACAGATATCAAGTAATTACAGAATAGCCATTTTAAAAAAGAATAATGAGCGAAAAAATTAAAGAATACAGAAATGAAGGACCCCATACATACCCTTATACATATATAATAATAATAATAATACTTTATTCCGTAAGCAAATACAGCTCATAGGATTAAACAGATACACAATTTATACAGTTTACATATACAGCATTAATGTCATAAACAATTTCTAACATATAGCGGAGTTTGGCATACAATTTACATTGGTAATAAAGGTACATAACAAAAATCAAGTGTCACGAATTTTCTCTGCCTCATAAAGTTATTTACCCAGATTATTTAACTCCTTAATATTTCTTACAGATAATAACTGAACTAGTTTGAAATTAGTAATTATAATATAATAAATAATTATCATCAGTGAACCCTTGGCTGTCCACTACTTAAGGTAACAATGTCAAATTTTATACCACATGTATAGGTAATGGTAAAGAATCAAATCAAATCTTGAAAGTGATATTTACTCAAGTTCACTAACTCTCTGCAACAAAGTTGTTCTATTAATATAAATAAAAAGAACTATTGCCCCTTACTTTGCAATACATAAGACAGTATACCATCTTATTATAAAGTCAGTCAATTTTATGATAATAAATTATTTACTAGTCAACAAAAGAAACGATACAAGGCAATGTATTTTCCATATATAATGAAATTGGATACACTGTACCAAGGTAAATTTTGCCCAATTGGTCTAATATTTACATAGTGCTATTTTCTTATCAAAACCATTGATTTAAGCCAAATACGCAATTATTTTATTTTTTTGGCAATTTTTGTTATTTCAAAAATCGTATTTTCACCCAAAAATTCAAAAATCTATATTAGAACTTAAAACTTTAAACTTAAGCATGGTCTGCTTAATATTTTGAATGCCTTTGCAGATATTTGAATACTAAATTCTCATCTTCGAAATTAAGTGCCGACTTTTGTCATCATTTTCTGCAAAAATAAATTTTACCCCTGTGTCCAATAACACGGTATTTTCTTACTTTCCAATTTCGTTAGATTCTTTTAATCTTTCAATTGTTTGTTTTTCTTTGGATAATTTAACAGTTTTTCCTATTTATTATGTTTTATGATAAATTAGAGTTCAAACTTGTGTACCGTTACTTTTGTTGACTAGTATATAAAGTGTTCAAATTGCTGTAAATAATGATAATAAAAAAAAACTGGTGTAATAAATGGAGTCATGAAAAAACTTTTGTAATTTTGAATTGTATACTAGTTTTCATAAGAATATTGTTTCACAACTTGAAGATATTTCATTTAATAAACATATTGAAGAATGGCACAGAGAAATGGTAACAAACTTCGTACTTATTAGCTGTATACATCTCAATATTCTACATAGTTATATTCATATTCAACAAAATATGTCTTTTAAATTTAGAAGTTCTTATGCCAAATTTAGGTGTGGTGTTATTGCAAACAAGACAATATAAGAATACCTAATGAAAGATCTTGTTTTGTGTGTAAAAATGAAATTGAAGATGAATACATGTTTTTACTCTAAGTTCTTAATACGCAGACCTTCGAAATATATTGTATAGTGTAGCATTTAAATATCGGTGATATGAATATCTTAGATAAATTGGTTTTATGTCTTTTATGTCCGTCAGTTAACTTATGCAGTATGCTGCTCCATTTATTGAAAAGTCATGGTCACTGAGGAGAGTGGATTCAACAACTGCATGATATGTACATACATTGTATGTATATTACAATGTATGTCTTGTTGAGGTAATATGCTTGCATTCCCCTTTATTTTCTGTACTTCATTACAAACAAAATAGGACACACCAGTACAAATTTATTGATTTTGATAGGATAGAAATTAGGATCCGTATCATAAACTTTCCATATCTATCATTATCTACTAATTTGAATTTAATCTTGATAGTTATTTGCTCTCTAATATTAATTCAGTCATGTAGTTAATGTTCTCAAACGGCCCTAAGTATGCATATTACACTAGGATTCATTAAGGAAGCACGAACATTATAAAAAGTAACAGAAAAAATCACACCAAAAACTATATTCCCCCTAAGAGGCTAACGATTTCGCAACGGAAAAATATCAACCAACACATGTACCCATTAAAACAAAAATCTAGACTACTGGACGTTTCCCTAAACGTACCTTAATCACATGACGTTTTAACACGGTGCAATTACCAGTTGATAAAGTTATTATCTGATAAATTGTATAACCTTTATAACCGTCCATACTGTATATTATATTCTATACGGTAGTATGGAAAAAATGTTCATAAGCGAGAAGACTTTCTGTTAAAATTTAGTTTTCACAATAGGTCAAAATATTTCAATCGTTTAACACTGTTGTTATTTCTAACAAATATTTTTGGCGGTTTACAATCATAATTAAATAAATCACAATCTGGTTTTAAAATATTTTGCAATTGATATAAATCTTCCATTGGTACTAAACTAAATGCTTCAATGAAAGCCTCATTACGCTGAGCTTTGACAGATCTGATATCAGACACGGAAGCAATAGCTTGTTTGGCTGCTTCGAAAAAATCCATTTTAGTCATATGATCTCGAGTAAACTCTGGACTGAATGGGTATGGTTCCTGTATTGGTAATACTCCTCTTATTTGTAAATCTCTCCAGGACCTTACACTAGCGTTGTAGAATGACATGCACCGTTCCAATTGTTTCCTCATCCCAAATATGCGTGTAACCTGTCCGAACACTCTTGATTCAGTTGTCTCAGTATCGAAGTCATTGAATGTAATATTAGTTTCATAAGCATTGTTCCAGACATTTATCAAAAATAAGACATCTTCTTTAAAAGATTCCAATTTCCCGATAAAATCATAAGGAATTTGACATGGCCGACAGTGTTCGTACATCGGTGTAAAGTGTCGGTCTTTGTGCCTGCTAAGGCTTTCTGAATGAATGATATACTTGACGAATTCTGGGAATGTAACATCGTGCCCACATCGCAAAGAAGCATCACTAGCATCTATACGCAATTGTGAAACTATATATTTTCCCGTTACTTTCCAGTAAAGTGTATTAGTACAAAATAACTTATCAACATATCCAGACAGAACACGGGAATATGGTTCTCGAACAAACATAAATTTGTCGGATTTCTGTATAACGGAATGAAGCTCTGCAAAACCAATATCTTTATGTTGTGTTAATCTTATAAAACCTCGTTTTGATCTCTTTATATTACTACTCTTGAATACTTTACTTAATAATTTCCGTAAAAATGATGATCCAACTTTCTGAATCTGACAATATACTAAATTATGATTTTGTTCTACGTGTATATTATGTTTCACATCTTGGTCTTTAGAATCGCCAAGAAACTCATCTGAATTGATCCGACATGTCTCCCGCAAATGTAGTACTCGCTCTGCATATATCTCGTTTACCAAAGATTGATATTTCTGAAAAAGAAAGTAAAACTTTTCCATTCAAACTATTGAAAATCACAATTTGGAAAGTAGCATTCACGCACTAGTTCGAAGGTAAAAATTTGTATAATATTTTAAACAGTTGATGATAGGTTTAGCAAGCTTTTTAAAAAATATGCCTTGACAGAGGAAGAGGGCCAATTCTCCTGAATTATTTCCCATCAAGAAAAAAATATATTTACAAGGAATTCACAATATCACAGCTGTGTGTGTATACTTTTATCTTATATTCAAACAAATGTCGTATTTCAACATCAAACCATTTCATAAATTCTGATAGAATATTCAAAGCATGATCTAAATCTGGCAAAATATTAGGATAAAAACTAATGCTAGCGCCTGGTTTGATCTTGGAATGAGGTGTAAGATTTTGTTCCGTGTTGAAGGCTTCACTGTGACTTAGGGGTGAAGACCAACAATAAAAGCACTGCATCTAGGCTTTTTGTATTGTACCATGTGCGTGTAGTGATCTTGTGTGTCATGAATGAATGAATGAACTATAATACTTCTTGTTTAACCTTTCAAAACTGCATCTCTGATAAATTTTCAGTACTTTTCACTATATAAAACAAAGTTAAAAGAACGTTTAAATCGTATCCCCAATAGTAGGGCTGTTACTAATTTTTTTTATATAAGCTATTCACTTAGATGTCCTTCCAGGCAAAATTATGCACTACATTTACCTATAATGTATAAAAATTGTCTTCAACGGCAAAATCTACGACTGGTTTTCATTTTCTTTCGATTAAAATCCCCTGAGTGAAACACATACATTGTAAATTGACCATACCTCTTAATAATCAATATGAATGAAACGCGATGTGGGGAACAGCAAACCATACATCGTCATAAATAACCAATAGACAAGAAAAAAATGATAAATATATAAAAGCCCTTCAAATTTCTTCAAAACACTGGACGTGCATATTTTTTTTACTGGAGACACAAGTTATGCTTACTAAGGATGATTCTGTGAGTACATCTGGATGTAGTTTAAATAAATTATCTTTAATTCTTTCGTATGGCATATACGTACGTTCTGAAAAAGAGACAAAGCATAATGTTATCAACGTTAACAACAAATTGTGTGCTCTATCTCACATTTCAAAATGTTGAAATTTTAATCTAAATCCATATTTTTTAAACCCGATTCCAATCTAATCAAAATACAGATCATGTGTCAACGCTCTGTTTTAAAGACCTTTCTTAAATGGAAAGATGCATAAGATTGATTGATTGATTGTTGGTTGCTTTACGCCGCATTAGCACAACAAGGCTATATCGCGGCGATGATGCATAAGATAATATTGAATTTGAACAGTGATATTATATCTCGTATATCACAATTATTGTAATTCAGAATACTATGCGTACGGCAGTGAGAAAAATTATCACCTTTCCTATTTTCTTTATTTTAAAACGACTAAAAATTTCTAGGTCATTAAAAATAGTACGGGACTTAAAACTATAGCAGAAGACCTGGAAAGAGAATTATAAAAACATTTTTTATAAATTTTATACTAAACAGTAACACGGTGCAAAGGCATGATAAAAACTGTAAATAGATAAATAAATAAGTATATTTTACCTCTCTATTATCTAAGTTTACTTGTTGTTGTTTTTTTCATGTAAAACGAATGCGCGCAAATGTAATAAAAAGCTGCGCGCAAATGTAATGGTAAAAGTTCACCTTGGATTTTTGTTGTTGGATGGTTTTGTGTTACCCAATCTTATGGTTTGTGTGTGTGTTGGGGAAAGGGGGGTGAACTGTTGTTTATCTTTTCGTCTTCTCCTTTCTTGTCTGATAAATGAAGGTGTCCGCATGATAAGATATGTTTTATGACACGTTTCAAGATATCTCCTGACCTTTCTGACACTGCATATTGAACTTATCTTTTAATGATTTTTGCAAGAGTATTTTCATGATAGCCATAAATGAATAAGAGTAAAGAAATTGAATTAAAGGTTTATGTAGAGGTAAGAAATCATATATCTGTCCAACATAACATTCAACATCCAAATATAAACAAGTAGGGTCAATTTCTCCCGACTTTATTTCACACCTAGGCCATTTTCAAAAAGTCTTTCAATCTTTGCTTAAATTCATAGTATCACAGCCATGTGTACTTGATGGTCCTAACGATATTATATGGCATATTTCCAAACAGTCATCAAATTATAAACGCCTGAAAATAGTCCAAAACCACAATTTGGAGAGATTTTGGCAAATTTGAGTGTTTATCGCAAAAATATTTACAAAGGACACCGTTAACCAAAACAAATTTATGTTGGATGTAAAACTATGAATTGTCTTTCGGATACAAAATAATGAATATTGGTTAGCGATGTCCTTCGATTCAAAATTTGACCAATCTGCAATCTTGTATCAAAACGCTTTTAAGATTGTTAACTTTTTGTTTGGTGGAAATCTGTAAAATTGTGATACGATATTTTAAGTTTATGATATGGATCGACTCTTTTATATTTAATTTCGAGTAGGATCCTGTGAGTAAAACATATACAGGGAAACTTGGTCCTGCTCCTTTGCCGTATCAAGTCATTAAGGAGTTCCTTGTAGTCTCCATTAATGGACACGCATGCGCTATTGGTGTAAATGAGATATTGTTTTTTTTTACTGACGCAGTCAGTAATATATCGGTTTGTGATCTATTTATTAAGGATGCTTCACTATGGTAACGGCATGCATGATGTCACAAATCTTTACTCTGATTGGACAAAATAACGGAATTGAACAAAACCAACAAAAAAAGATATATGCTAAAGTAAAAAGAAAATATTACAGACATAAAATCAAACTTGAAAATGAAATTATCCAGATGGATTAAAATAAACTCAGGTAAAGAAGGTGTCATTATAACCACTGTCAAATTGTTTGGATTTTGTAGGCTTAGCCTTTAATATATGAGTAGCCGGTAAAAAGTAAATAACAAAAATACCGAACTCTAAGGGAAATTCAAAACGGAAAGTCCCTTATCAAATGGCAAAATCAAAAGCTCAAACACATTAAACGAATGGAAAACAACTGACAAGTTCATTAGATCTACCAGGTCAATTAGGCTATTAATAGCTCGAGTGCTATAAATATATCTTATCGACTAAAACTTCCAAGGCGTTATAATTAACCCAAAGAGTACAAAGTATTATTATACTTGAAATAAAGAATGTCAAAATACCTATATCGCAAATTTAATAACTTGTCAAAAGCTGTATTATATAGATCATCTCCCTTTGGCGTCCGTACGTCCCCGTTATACACACCGAAATAGATTGTATCTCTAGCCAATCAGGATTCTTCTTCGACAAAATTATCTCCCCATTACGCCACCTAATCTTTATAATCGTAATCAAAGTACTGAAGTACTGAACATCGGATGACCGCAAGTTCTTGTGGATGGCCAAAAGCACTAAGTCTTGTTTCAGAAAAAAATCTCATCTCTATACCTGAAACTGAGGTTAATGTACAGAGATATATTTTTTTCTGAGACAAGTTCGTGCGTGGATGATGAATAAATGACAGGAAATTCAACCTCACCGTAATAACTATTATATTGTAGTGATACAAATCAGGCTTCACTGGTTTGTTGTTATATATTATATTAATATAACAGTTACATGTATATATAATTTTCATACATTTGTACATCATTCTATTCTACTATTCTAATAATAGTGCAGTGCAAGTGCATGGTGGACACTCTTCTGTAAAACTCCGATTTTTCTAAAAGAGCGGATATGAGTAGGCATTCATATTTTCCCGCAAAAATAAACTTCCATGCAGAGTTACCGGTCCTTGCGGGGATTGCCGCAAAATGTTCTTGAGATATTCTTCCGCATGCGTTCACACAATTTTTCGGTACGTGTGCATAGATATTATCAATGATTTTTTACTTATACATATATATCTAACGACAAAACATTTTCATATTATTAATTTATGTTCTAAACAAAAATATTTTTATCAGTATTCATTGAAGAGATGTATTTATAACAAACGATAAGGAATGTTACTTTTGCACTCCTTAATGTCTGCGTTTTTATCATGTTTATAGATCGGTTACCAACCCAAAACGAAAGTTACGTAATGGAAATCTAGGCGATAGCAATACATCGGAATGCCCTCACGGCCATCGCGATGTAAAAATGGAAGCCATTGTAGTGATGACGCGCTGTCAATTTAGCTCTTGAAAACCGATCAATTTATCCGCATAGCATCATTATGATCCTTATATGCCAGTTGTATTTTGAAAGACAAATGTATCTACTAGCTATTGAGTATCATGTTATGTACTTTTATACATATCGTCAACTTAAAACTATTGTCTGATACGTTGACAGGGGGAATTTTCGAAAGTTCAAAAATATTTTTAAAAATTCTGATTAAATATTTCGTGAAAGGGCAGACTAACAATTTTCAGAGGTTGAAGACTAATTACCCTAGATAACACACAAAAAATAAAGTTTTTTTTAAAGATATGCATTTTTAAGATCCACTTGTAAAGTCTGTCGCCAAGTACTTTTAGTGAAAATTTGTTATTCGAACACACCTACTCTGTTGTTATGACTCATTAGAAAGATAATACTATGTCACTTGACCCATATATTACATTTTTTAGAACTGTAAATTTCTAATGTTATTATATCAACCTATAGCCTAGATTTATAAGAATAATAGAATCTGAATAGAATTTGTCTTTTATGCGTTTTCAAGACAGAATAGTCAACTCAAACACGCCTGAACATAAAAAGGTGTACTCGACTTTCTCTTTTCGATGAAATTATGACTCATTTTGGGGAATTTTCCCGAGGGCAGAGATGTAAATTAATGCTTTAAAAAGATCATGCTATTATCTTTCGTTGGTATTTTTTTCGGCGGAATTTATGCTTATGCACAAAAAAGATCAACATGTATTTGCACCTACCACAATCGACTGTTTTGTGCAATTTTGCCTATAATTTGAAAGTTTACAAGTATCTCGAAGCTCCATACCATAATTAAAGTAAAAACACAGATATAAAATGCATAAAATCCTAAATTATGCACATTCATTAAACTTTTAAAGCCCATAGAAGCAGATGTAAACAATTCAAATTTACCAACTTGGCCTTTTTTTTACCTTCTTTGATAAGGAGAGTTCCATTTCTTTTATTCAGTTTCAACTGGGTTTCCCCCAGATAATCATATCTCTTTTAAAGATAGTACTTGTTTACAAATGTAAGAGATACAGAGGGTGGGTGGGGGAGGGGTGCAATGAAAAAATGAGTAAATCAGTAGACAGATAACACCAGGAAATAATTGTGCCCAAATTTTAGGCAAAAATATGAGAAAAATAACTGCAATTAACATATGAAGCTACGATTTACCCTTTCAAATAGAGAAAAAGTACAAAGGATATTTGTTTGCATTGTGAGGAAAACTGATGATATATTGTTACTTAGTAACTAAGTATGAGTGAGCGGTTTTATTGGGAGATAGTTAAAATTCACGCTGTAATTCATAATAACACAAATTATATATGATTATACTGAACATATCGCTCCAATGAACAATTATCATTTGCGAATATGAAAGACACGTCAAACTTTATTTTGCATTATGATATTGTTAAAATGATCCATCGAAAGTAACTATACCAATTATTTAATTTATTTCAAGTTTATTCGTAGCCACCATAGTAGTATTAAAAAGTGATTTGGTATAACGTTAATTTTGACAGCAACTCTACTACACAGTCTTTATAAGAAACCTGCCAGATTCTTTGGACTATTTTTTACTAGTATATTTTAGGGCAAGAATCTTTTCAATACTCAAAGAAAACAATAATCTTGGACATTTGATTAAATTCTAAAACAAAATAAAGAGTGCATTTCTTTCTAGCACAAACGATGCAAACGACTAAGCGCGCACATGTTTTGATCATTTGTTTCAAACATACGTTTGCAAAGTTTACATAAACTTTGACAATCTATGCACTCGCTAAAAATGCGTCTGCAGTTTGTCGTTTGTCTTTTGTTAGTACAAACGCTACATTTGTTTCTAACTTCAACCTTTAATATATTAAAATAAATCGGGTCCAGGACCAATCCAGTATATCTTATTATAATCCTTCGTAATTCATCCATTTTCTAAGTGCATATATTTAGAGTAATTAAGAGCTGGTATAACTATGTGAATGATACATATTTTTTCTTGTGGAATACATTTTTCATAATTCATACTTGCATGCTTGTAGTATGAGACTTATGTGTGTATTTTAAGAATAGAAATTCATATCTGGTATGTGTTTTTATTACCAGTATTACAAAGAGGTGTTTCGGTTATGGTCATGTAGACCTAGGCCTATCCTCATCAGGTATCCCCTATATTTTACCTTTCTTGTAATATTTTAGAATGGTTCGAATTTGATTACACTTATGGGGATACATATGTTTACCAACAACACGTGCATGCATTATTGAAAGTTCAAAACAGGGTCAGATAACACGGATTAAACGATGCATTTGTTTCTTCTTTTGTAGCGTTTAGCAAACGATAACAAACGCCACACAACGGTTTACAAAATTTTGGTTACAAAGAAATGCACTCAAAGCTTACCTGTAAAATTAGCGAGAAATAACATCATAACCATACAGATTATACAAATCACAGATAACATACAAGAACTTTTGTTGGTTAAAAACGTCATCGTTTGCTGCATTAATTTCAAATTCTTCCAAATCGTTTCCAATTTGACATCTGTTACATTTTCTTGTAAAATTTTATTCCTACAAATCACTTAATCCTCTTTGTATTAAGTCTTTTCGATTTTTTATTACACTTCAATGACTGTTGTAAAAATTCCCGAAGGTCAGCAGCATATATAGAATAAGAATAAGACAATTAAGGGATCTTGACGGGCAGCATGACATTCACATTTAAAAATTGATACACAATGATCTCGTAATTTTATAGACGAATAGGGTGAGCGGCCACACATATTGACAGATGATGAAAATCAGTCAATGCTATAGATCATTTTTTTTTTAAATTTCATATGTGAAACAAGCTGGCGTTAATAGAAACAAGTTAATGTTACGGTCCTTAAATTTATCAGATTGATATAATACATGATTTGAAAGAATAATTTTATATATGTTGTTATTTAAAATGTGATATTGTATTGCAGGGTTTCCTTTTGATGCTTCATAATTAACCTACCCAGAACCCTTCATGGTCAACTATTATTTATGCCCTAGATAGTGCGACAACATATATAATTGTAGTTTTTTTTTATTTCTATGTTTTATATTACAGGCCGTATTTGTCTCTACTATTCATTTTTTAACACTATATTCTCTATATTTGTTTATCAAGGGTTCGCTCCTCTTGTTTTTGAATTTTTGCCAGATATTCGGAATCCTCTGGTTTTATCCATGCAGTGCTATTAAAAAAAAATCCCCGCTAACCCCTACTTTTCTTTTCATAATTTAATTACATATAGTTTAAAAAGCCATATTTGAAAATCCTATAAAATCCTTATTATTTTTTTCATATTTTTTAAAGAAAAAGGGTGCCAATGTTAAATGTATGAAAAGTCTAGAGAGGAATATTTCCCGCCAAATTTTCAATGGCTTATACCTCGAAAACAAGCACACGGATCCTTCATTTTTTTCTGATTTTTTAGTTCCTTTATTGATATACTATCAATTTAGAACAGTCTTTTAAAAAGCTTGTTATTTTGAAACAGAGTGGCGAACACCCTTAAGCCCCATCTAGCCCCTCATTTAGGTGTAACACAATGTGTGAAAGAACAATATTTAACAAGGTGTATATGTACCTTGCAGACACTTATCGTACATGTATTCTGCCGACGTTAATTGCATTGTGCAGATATAAATAGCATTGTCAACTGCCCAACCTAGTACATGTATTATTTAATAGCTAGACTACTCTATAAACTGTTGACATTTATTGCTGTTGTTGAAAGCTGATGGATGGCCCCTCTGAACTATATAAGATCCAGCTTTGGACTCGAACAGCAGATTCTGACAGGAGATTCCGCCAAGTCTCCCCCTCGTGGGTAGGCTGGAATTAATTCACTGACCATCTGAATATACTCAGTCAGGACCGAACAATTATACCGCTTTACGATCACGTGTTCATGTGACAATTCGCTAACACCAGAATTCGTCAGATCACGGCCAGTGTCACAGTGCAAAACAATTATTGAACTTTCGAACTAGTTATCTTTAGAAACTCTGTACATTACGTAATAAATTATAATTCTGACTTCTTTACATAGGCCATGTTATATATATTTTCTCTTTTTAGCATTAACTCAAAACTTGATTTTAAAATTACTTGGACTTTCTTAATAACTTTGATTTTCTTAAGGTTAAACAACTGATCTGCGCGGTTAATTTAGTTCATTTTGTCATTGATGCAGGACACTAATCTATAGCGATATAAAAAAAACCTGATGCCTGATGACAACGAACAATTAGTTTGGTAACGGAAAACTATCTGGTGTTGCCTTACAAATCAAATTAAAATAATTTACTGTTAATCTATGTAAGAATGACTTAGAAATGTCATTTGGGATATTATAATTGATTGAAATGACATTAGGATATTAGTATTTGGTTACACTAAATTGGCACAGATGAACTACTGTAACAATGCAACAGTTAACATTGTGTATTCAGTGTACGAACTTCTGAAGCGGAGACAATAGAACATAACTCTCCTCAAGATAAAAATGAAAAGTTTGCTTCAGTATGTTACAATACATTATAAAGTTCTAAACCATAATAGTACATTATGAGTTTATTAATGGACATATATTATCTGTTAAACCATGTTGTTTGAAATATACATGAAAAAGTGTATTGTCCTGTTTTCGTTATTTAACGTTTTTCATTTTTTATCTAAAAAAATAATGATCTGTGCTGCCTATGGAGAATTTATCAGCAACAAAAACTCAAGCTCTTTCAATACAATTTTCAGAGTGTTCCACAAACTAGTAGGAAAGTATGGTACAAACTCCCCGAATCTACATATTTTCCACAACTAAGTATCGCCACGCGAACTTCCAATGACTTTATGTAAATATAACAATTTAAATGTTATAGATATAAGAAGATGTGGTATGAGTGCCAATGAGACAACTCTCAATCCAAGTCAAAATTTAAAAAAGTAAACCATTATAGGTCAAAGTACGGTCTTCAACACGGAGCCTTGGCTCACACCGAACAGTAAGCTATAAAGGGCCCCAAAAATTACTAGTGTAAAACCATTCAAACGGGAAAACCAACGGTCTAATCTATATAAAAAACGAAAAACAAGAAACACATCAGATTCCTGTTCAAGTTAAAAAAAAAACCAAAGGAGATATGTTTACAAATCCGTTAAAAGATTTAACTATTTTTTTTATCATTTTTAAGAATAGTTCGTAACAATTTTTGTACATATTATTACATGCACAGTCTTCTCGACGCATTAAATGTGTCTAGATCGGAATAAGGTCCGTTTGAATTTACCTAGCGACTTAACTTCAAAAGTGTTAAAGTCATATGATATTTCAAATATATATATGGCTAAGTTTTACGATAAAACACGTGTACATGAACTTCCTTTTAAAAGAAAATCCTTTATTTTCTCAAAATCTTCAAAAATATACTGCTATTACATTAATGTCGTCCGTACTCTAATTCGCCGATATCTGTTCCATATGCAATGACCTTAACCACGAGGCCTATCGTTAGTACTTTGGCAACCGCACAGTGCAAGTGCGAAGGAAAACCCGCAATGAAAGAATTATTTGTTCCAAAACCCACTCTTCAACATGATATAAGATACACATTTGAAAAAGAGCGATAAGCGAGGGACTAGGTGGGGGTCCTTCATTTATGTATTCTTTAATATTTTGGGGCATTTTTCTTTTATCTTTAGAAATAACACTTATTCTGTAAATTTCTCAAGAAAATTATTTAACAATTACATTTATCTGTAATCTGGGACTATTAGTATAATAGTCCCAGCTTTAATTATATGATTTCTTTATTCTGTGCATTGTTTTGATTACTTAATTCTTTTATTTTCCACAATTATTTTTTTATTCTTTTGCACCTCATTATTCTCTATTCATTATCTTTTTGCTATTTCTTTTTTCTAGTCATGAATTTATTGGCCCATTATTCTCTATTCTGTAAACCCCATTCAACTGAGTTAAGGTTTTCTCTTTTTCTACACTTGCTCCAATTATCTAAAAATTGCTCAGATTTAAAACATTTGAAACCTATAAGAAATTCTATTCGATTCAAAATGAAAACTTTTTTTTATAAAGTCTAAGTCTAAGATACATGATTTTTATTAGTTGTTATTGGCTTTCAACTAGCTGTCAGGAACTGTACTCTCAGATCTGTATCCTTTTAGTTGTTAGGGATGAGGGATGGATAAATACCCTGACACGTCCGGTCTGTGTTTATGTTCCGGACCATATGAGTATTAAGACCATACGAGTATGGTCATGACCATATGCGTATATACTCATATGGTCCGACCATATCCGTTTGGTCCGGGTAATAAATACGATGAACGTTGAACAGTAATTGCATAAGGCATAACTCTTAGATAGATAGATCTTTATCCTCATTAACTAAATTACATAGTTACAGAGATGAAAATAATTATATACAATATAACATATTTTGCATGTGTGAAAATTTCATAAATAAATATATAAATAAGGTGTCATAAATTAAGAGTTTCTAAAAATGATATTTTGACTAAAATAATTTGGTAATCATTGTTACGTGATTAATGAAATGAAATGAATTTTACTCACAAGTTAAAATTATAGTAGATGCATTTTTGCATGGTCATTTATAGTAATTTGTCTTTACGAGACACAATATGTCGACTCCGAAAATAACTAATTTAAAATGAACTGTTTTAAAATAAAAGCAAGAAGTCAAATGTTTTTTCATTAGCAATTAGAGCATTGAACCCTCCGTTTTTCTTTATTTTGGTGTTTTAATTTGTTTTTTTTTTAATTTAAAATTTCTAAAACATTTCAAATCGTTTTTAGTTATTTAATTTGTTTATGCTCCTCTTTATACGATTTACAATTACAGTAGTTTATACGTGCTGCCTCTCTATTCTTATGTAGAAACCACTGTTATTGTAAGATCGTATGAACACACCAGTTACGTGAACATAAGTGGAAATTGGAAGAAATTAAAAAAAATCTAATCTAAACGCCGGGGAAAAAGAAAACAAATTGTCCATGCCCCAAACACCTGTTGTTTCACGCGTACGGACGAAACTGTCGACAAGATAAAGGTGCTTAAAATTGACTCTAGATAGCGAAGGCAAAACAACAAATATAACAAGATTCAGACAATATGTAACACAGATAAAGTATTTCAGTAAATAACTTGTGCTGATTTTGATTCATAGAACGAGCTGTGTCTGTTAAGGAAATTTGAATTTATTCGAAAAATACCTATATGGTCTAAATACTCATATGGTCTGGCCCGTTAATAACCAAACGAGTATATACTCATATGGTCCAACCATACGCGTATGGTCGGACCATATGAGTATACCCATATGGTCATGACCATACGCGTACGGTACAAATACTCATTTGGTCCGGAACATTTATGTATGATGTTTTTCTTCTTTGTATCGATTTGATGAGTTAAGCCTTTTTCAACTGATTTTTATAGTTTGTTCTCATGTTGTGCTGTTACACCACTGGCC